TTTTTTTTTTGGATTGATTGATTTATTTATTTTTTCTATAAAAGGATGACGAGTAATCTTAATCACTGAGGATTGCAAGGTATCGCACGATTTGTGGATGATTAATGAAAATTGGTAGCAGCGAAAATAAATTTTGTAGTAATTTAGATATATAAAATAGAACAGTTTGTATTACGCAATAAGGTTTTGAAAAGAATAAAACCAAATAAGATGAGTATTGGCATTTTTTGCTCTTGTTTTTTCTTTTTGATCTTAGCATTGAGCCAACAAACATGTTTCTGCTGCGCTGCTTAAGACCTAAAAAAAACAATGAAAAACAAATAGAAATACGTTGAATAAAGTAACAAAAACTGATATCTTTGTGAGTATACCAAAAAAAATTTATGCAAAAAATTTCAGGATCATCTTTCAAGTTTAACTTTAAAAACGTACTGTTGTTCTGCGGAACTTTCGATCTGTTTACAAAATATCGTAGTCATTAAGGCCAAAAAAAGAACAAGCCGAGAACGGCTGCAGAAACAGAAGCAATTAGTCTAGTTTAACGCTGCGGTAGTCAACAACTTAGGTTTTCGGTTTAGTCAGTCTAATCAGGATGGTAATAACTGGTACGTCATAACATATGTAATTCAGGTCTATTTGCTTGTTCGTTTGCCGTATCGTCGTTTGGACAAAACAAATTGTCGAAAAGTTTCAGTAATCCACTTAAAGATCTGTTTACTCGATATGCTTTAACTTCTCACAACATTATTGACATTTCCTTACACTTTTCTCGCCACAATGATGATTATCCCAATATAGCAAGAAAAAAAAATAAACATTTTTTTCTTCTTTGCTTTTCTTTTTCTTCAACAAATTTTTTGGCTGGCAAATTGAGGTTCGTTAAGACATTTTTAACATTATTAAATTTGCCTCATCATTGAGTCTTTAAAAAATTTGTTACGATTTTATTTAGCTGAATGCTTAAAAAGTGTTCATTTTTTCTTCTTGACAAAGTTCAAGTTTATTCGAATCAATTTTTTTTTCTTTGAATTTCCAAACATCAGCATCTTTTTCTATCTGTGGTCACATAACGCATAACACATTAAACTTAATCAGTGATTTTAATTTACATAAATTTTTTTAACATTACTTATATATTTGTCGTTATCAGTGGTTGAGTTTGTTAGTTTATAAAACTCAGTGTTCTTCCAGTTACTGATCGATCAACTTGTAACTTTATAATTTTGCACTTATTATTTCTTTTTATAGACAATAAGCTGCCACTTTTTTTGTTTAAATGTCTATACTTTATTGAATTTTTGTATTTCAAGAAATAAATATAAAATTGTTTTTCAATAACTGACATTCGGTAGCTGCTTTAAGATTCATTTGACTCAGCTGAAAATACCAATGTATCTATTTTTGTTGCTACTGAAATGTTGTACTCTTTAACATAGACATCATATAAACTTCTAGTTTTTTTTTTTTTTTTGCATCAAGTACTACCAAAAATTGCGGTGTACAATAAAGTTTAGCGCTCAACTTGAAAAGTTAAACATTTATATCATTATTTATCGATAAAATATGGTTTATAAGTATAAGAAAATGGATTTTCAATTCGTTTATGAATTTTTAAGCACAGAGAAATGTATTTTCAGGAGACGAAAAATCGGCCAAGAACCACTAATGGTATATTCAATGACTCTTCAAGAGAAACTCTTGAAAATTTGAGAGACTTTTAAAATAACTTAAACAATAAAGCAACTAAAATAGACAGAAAAAAGTTAAGCGAAATTTATAATGTTTGCTTATGGTTATTTGGTTCTTTCCGGAGCAGCAATAGCTTTGGTAGAAACTGTTTAACCCATATGCGGCAATTGGATTCTGATGTTTTGTGAATGCTGTTCAAAACTTCATCGATATCAAGTGCATCTAATAAGGTTGTTGTTTTATCGTTGTTTATTGCGCGCATTTTGCAAAATCTATTCTAATTCTAAATTTTTAAATGATTACTAATTCTAAAGTTATTAAATTTTTGTCTAATTATTTAACACTAATTTAGAATCACCAAGAGTTAGTATATTATACTGTATTTTTAGCTATGGATGCATATCATTTTTGCTTATTGCTAGTGGTTTAATATTCACAATATTTTCTGTTGTTCAAAAGGATACTCAAATTGGTAAAGTTTGGCTTGCCGGTCCAACTACAATGGTTGTAGGCTTAGTGCTTTGCGGAAAGGTACGTTTTACCCGCCATTGAAGAAACGAAAAAATATCCTTTATATTTCTTTGTATTTATTCTCAGCAAAAGTTTTTCTTTTGTCTCATCGACTAAAGCAAGACAGAAACTTTTTTTGGCAATAACAGTGTTTCATAGAATGATTTACTTAAGTCATCTGATAAAAAACGATGAAGTTTTAGCTACTGAAACAGTCATAATGTAACCAAAATGTAGTATTTGATTTCTCAAAATCCTGCTTTGATTAATTATTGTCAATTTTTTCAAAGTGCTAAAAATTTATATGTTTAAGGTAGTAATTGATTGGGGACCCGCAATGAGACAGCAGTTTGATGTACGTCCTGAATATGAGCAGGTATTAGACAAGTGTAGAGTATGTTTTTACAATTCCGCACTTTTGGTGTGTAATTTGGAACAGTTAGAAGATAAGTGAAAACAAAGGAAAGATTAAATTTAGCTATTTCATCTAGATACCTGGTACTAATGGAATAGCAGTTGATCGTAATTCGATTCTTTACAACACTAAAATAGCAGATGCACGACAAAGTTTACTTGCAAATGGTAATATACATCAAATTAATAGCAACAATCAGTTTACTGCTTTTCAGAATAC